CTGTGAGTCTAGGCTCATCAGCCAAGTTCATTAAATATGACATAATATGAGGGTTCACATTGTCATCACATGATGCCTAACTGCTGTGACAAGGTGACTGCTGCATCCTTGCCCATGGCACCCTTCTTCAAGGCCAGCACCTTTGTAGCCTTGACAGCTAGCTCTCTAAAGCCAAATTTTCCTTGCTTCCGATCCTTGCAGAGCGCAGTAAGTGCCTTGATCTTGCTCTTCATGTTGCGCGAGTCATTCTGCAAGAGCTTCTCCAGGTAACTTTTGCGCCCATTGACCTTGTTATTGTTTTTACCCTGAGTCTGGAGCTTCTTGGCTTTTGCCTGCAGGCCTTCTTGCAAGCGATTCACAATGACATCACGTTCGAACTCTTGAACAGCAGCCATCACTCTTCTTTGGAAGGCTTCCGCTGGCGTTGCAGACAGGCTGAAGACACATGGCAGGTCAGCCACCACTACATTTGTCTTTGATTTCTTTGCTGCTTCATAAACCTCTTCAATTCCAGTAGCCTTTCGACCCAAAGCCCTCAAGCTTTCCACGAAGACATGACTGTAGGATCCATCCAAGAGTGACTGAAGCTTCTTGCGCTGTGCCAGAGGCAGCATGCCAGAAACACATTCAGACACCCGCTTCAGGCTGGATTGGCCACCTCCCAAATTCTTCGCTGCAGCCAGGCCAGCTCGCATTTGTCTGCCACTGCTGTCACCAGCAATGTTTGCCTTGGAGGAAGTACGAGAGTAGATTGCCTTCTGCTTTGGTGGCACCACTGTTTTCTTGTTCTTTCCTGTTGCCTTGGTGGTCTGTCTCTGCAGCTGTAGACTCTTCTTCTTCTTGGTGGTTTTCTTGGCCATGCTGCTACAACTCTGAGACTCTGTAAACCCTAGGACTCTGACTCTGACCTTTGAGCAGCGCGTGCGCACACACATGCAGACATCATGCAAATTTCCGGCTGTGGGCTCAAGATCTAGGATTTCGCCTGAGTCCTGAGTCCATAGTTCCGAGTTGGACTCAGTTACTGTTTGGCATGTCTTTGATCCCTGGTCGCTTCAAAGCGTCAGAAGTTGCTGCCCTAAGTGCTGCAGCTGCTGAGCGAGAAGCTGCTGAAGCTGCTGAGGAGGCAAACTTGGCACACCCACCAGGACAGATAACTCGCCCAGAAGCACCAAGAGTTAGTGGCTCTGAGCGGCCAGCAGAGCCCGCAGGGCCGCCACCTGCCACTGTATCTTCGCAAGCAGGAAAAGTCGTTTTATTTTTTGTCTACTTTAGCATGAAGACTGCCTCAAACTAACTCTAAACTTTTTCTGCACCCTTGCAACATTAAGGCAACTGTAACTCCAGTGCCAAAAGTTGCGCCGGCACGATTTCCGAACCCAAACCTCAAGAGGAAGAATGCCTCGAAGTTCCCAGATGAGGAAACCACTGAGGAAGAGACAGAGGTGCCAAACATGTTTTTGATTTAAAACAGATCTTTCGAACCCTACACCCTAAACCTTAAACCCTAGAAGTACAACATGAAAGTAATTTATGTGCTTCTGTCTGGACAGCCTGATTGCAAGTAAGAAAAGTTGATGAAGCATGCTAGCTTAGGTTATAAAAACTGTTCCCATCTCACTTTGTCAGGGCCTGCCACAACCGCCGGTGCCACCGCCACGCCCAGATGAGATGCCAAAGCCACTCCCGCCTGGCATCGATTTGAGTGATGATGATTCCTCCAACGAGGCTGCGCAGACACCCGAGCACATGGAGCAGGAAGAGGCGCAGGGCAGCAAGGCCAAGGACCAGGGCAATGACGATAAGAAGGAGAAGTCTGCAGAGAAGCAGGACACGCCGGAGATCAACGACAGCCCAGAGGACAAGCGCAAGCGCAAGGAGCCCAGCAGCGAGAAGAAGAAGAAGGCCAAATCCAATAAAGAATTCCACATAAAATTCCTAGGCATTTGCAAACGCTACAATCAAGGAAAAGCTTAATTAACAACACAATAGATCCCCTCAACCCTAAACCCTAATCACAAAGCACCAGCCTCAGGGATCTGGGACTTCGGACTCGGAACTCAGCGATGTCTCAGATGATCGCAGCCGCAGTGGCACACCTTTGCGTATTGTGCGACGAGAATGGACAATTGCGAACGAGCGCACAGCAAAGGCTGAGAAATATGGCCGCAAGATGAGAAAGGCCATGGTCAAAGTCCAGAAGTGCAATGACAAAGTCATTGAGCACCATGCGCTGGCTCACGATGCTCTTGGACGGTGTGCAGTTGCCATGACCAGACTGTAA